AGTTTCTATATCCTTGGTCAGTTAATAGCATAGAGTCCAAGCTGAATGGCCATAAAGCTCTGATGACCACTGATTTTACAGGCTTTGGTTATCAAGGGAGAAAGGAATAAGCATCTGTTTATTGTAACTCAGGCTGAACAATGCTCCATTTTGCTCATCAACTATCCAGGGGTAGAGAAGCTATGTCTCTCAAAAAGTACAACTTTTAGCAGCCACAGCCATCCTGACCAAGGATAAGGGTTGCTGGAACTTTTAGATCAGCCACACCTTGAAGGCCAGAGATTTCCTACTTCTGAACAATATTAATTAGGTCTTTTAAGACACATAGCCTAAAGGAGAGAACTCCAATGGGTTTCTTCATTTGTTTTTAATGGACATTCCTTTTGAAGATTAAAGCGAAATTATCCAAGTTTTAAGGAACATTGTTGTTATGATCCTTCGAGTCAGCCTTGATTCTTGGGTGACTACATGAACAGGTCTATGCAGTTTTCTTGGCAATATTTTCAGAAGTGGTTTGCTAGTATCTTCTGGGATGTTTGTTTGTTTGTTTTTTGATTTCCCAGTCTAGGGCTGAGAGAAAGTGACTGGCCTAAAATCACCTAGCTGGCTTCTGTGCCTAAAGGAGGACTAGAATTCAAGTGTCCCCACTCCTAATCTAGTGCCTTTAACTACTACATCAAATATACTTTTTATTTATTAAGAGATTTCTATATCTCCCTTCAACACCTCTTTTCAGAGTGATACACAAATAAATCAAAATATAATTTATTCATGTCTAATAACAGGGGTCTTAACTTAGTCTCTGATAGTAGACTTACTGTATAATATATATGCAGAATCCTGCCATGCTAACTGAGAGAGAAGAATCTCAAGGATTAAGTAAATAAGACAGCTGACAGATGCCAGAAACACAGAAGAGCTCCAAGCATTGGGTATTTCCTCCAAAGATTTACTAAGCACATGATGGGGCAGCTGGGAAAACCTCTGGGAAGGATAGATACCACAGAAGTCATTCTTACATAATCATTAAGCTTAGGTAGATGGCTCAAGAAATCCCAGGGAAATGTGATTCATAAATGTTCCTCTTCTCATTCCAATACTAATGTTCTAGCACTTTCCTCAGCTCCTCATCAGGAGAATTTAAGGAATTTGGGGGCCCAAAGCAACACCTGATTTGGAGCTTTTCCTTCACACAGTCTTAGATGAACACTGATGGATTCCTGCAAAAAGAGATGTTAACACTATGTTTTCAAAATGGAATACCTCCAGAATCTGCACTAAAAATTAAAGATGTACCTGGAAGAGATATCTAAATACTTACTACTTGTATACAGTATTTTAAAAATCAAATTCTTCTTTGGTAGAGAAAGAGAAATTGTTTTTATATCTGAGGTGATATGTTCTTTATTTTCTGTCTTGTAAATATTGCTATTAGTTTATCAGCATTCAGAATCTGAGCACTTTGTTCTTGTTTTTATATAATTTTTATTAAAAGTTTTAAGAACAATAATAACCATAACAAACTAAATTAGAACAGAAAAAGTGAAAAAGAAAGAAATAACATAAAAAGCTGAAAGTGTAATAAGAAATGAAAAGAAAAAAAAAGAGAAAGATATAAAGAAAGATATAAAAACATAAAGAAGTGGCTTCCAATATTCTTCACACCAGTTATAAGTACAATTATATTTTAAGCTCTCCCTCCAAAATTACATCATAACTCTCTTCTTTCTATAGAATCTGAGCGCTTTGAACTGCAGTTCTGGCCAGACCAGTCAATTGCTTCTGTCTCACTGTAGATCTCAGATAGTTGTTATTATACAATTCCACCAAAAAACTGCTCTGCTGAAGTTACTGAAATAGGCATATACAGTATAGCAGTTTTTTTAATGTACTGATTAAATTTGGAAATGTCTATTGGAGCCTTTTATTCAAATTATGCTTCAATACCAACAAACTGTTACACAACTGCTATAGCAACTGCCTCTGTTTCAGTTACACAAAGAACACAGAATAGCCAAAAATCCATCACCATGGGAATCCTCCTACTTCAAGAAGTTATCTCTTGGGGTCTACTTATCCCGATCCTGTTTCCTGTTCTTTAGTAGGTAACTGTCCCTGAGAAAACCTGCCCTGTTAACCCACAACTCCTAAGCTTACTTTGCACAACATGTGTAAATATGTGCAGGATGAAACCACCATCTGCAGGCAGGCCTTGAGCATCCGATTCGTGAAGAGGAGCAGTTTTGCACAGGCAGAGACTGTTGGATGTACAGTGTTTGGGAGAGGCTGCAAGGAGTTAAGGGACCTCCGGAGAAAATGTTCAGGGAAAAATAAGTAGAGAAAGGATTGGGGATGATAAATACCAATGAGGAGTACGATGCCATTTGAAGACCGAAGCAAGGGAAGAACATCTGAAATAGCACACATGCCCACTTTTGCCTGATGCTCTGCTTGCCCCCCCCCTTTTTTTTCTGCAGCTTTAATTACTTTTGGTGGTTCTGCAAATGCCGCTGCTGCTGCCGTCAAGCTGCCATCTCTCATTGGCTGGTAGCTGGCAAAACACAAGAGTAACTGCCTACATTTCCCTAACTCCTTTGCTTGTTTGCTTGGCTGCTTTATTGTTAAACCCACACATCAATGTTGTACTATTCCATTTTTTGTTTTAAAGAACTCAATCTGTTTGCTAGATACTAGCTCTGTTTAGCATGAACAAACTATGTGCTTGTTCATGCTAAACTATGCATACCCCAGGGAGAACCTAGCCTGTGCAGTTAGTATTTGCTTTCCTGTATTATGCAAAGCTCCAACTTTGGGTTGATTGGATGAATATAGTTAAGCTAACTATGGGTGAGTATAAGAGAAAGGAGGAACTATAGCTAACCATCAATGCTGTGTACTGCCAGCTACCAGGAAATTCATTCCTGCATGAGTCAATCATATTGCAAACCTTTCAGAACAAGTTTCCCACACGCCACTCTTGACAGAAATGGCTACATTAGGGGGAAAAAGAGTTGAATGCATTTCCAGGATAGAATTTCAGGTTCTTTTATATTTAGGAATACCCCCATTTTTCCACAAAGTACACTAGGAGGTAAGTTTAAAGAAGAATGGAATAAACATGATTTATGTAATGTATGGTTTTCTATTTTAGTCAGCCCTTATTCATATCAGGATAAATGCACATAAATGCAGACAAATTACATGTGTTCGTTCCCTTGATGTGACTGATAAAAAATATTAGGAGGAGAAAAAACTTTTACTGGGACCAAGGGAATGCTCCCCCCGCCCCCTTTTTCTAACTTGGCCTGCTCAGTCATACATATGCAAGCCATCGATAGCAAGGAAGCAGTGAAGGATCAGCTCTCTTCATAACATAGATCCCATCACAGAGAAGAAAATATCTGTTTCCAAACCACATTTAATCCGAAATCTCATCCAATAGGACCTTATCCCAGATACCAGTTTCTGGAGAACCCCTTTATTGCCGACTGGATTGAGGTCATAAAACCAAGGATCTGCTTACTGCTGCATCTTGTTCTCAGTAGCGATTGGAGTCCTTGTGGTCAGTCCTGAGCCTCTGTAGTTTTGACCATAAAGCATTTGTTCCTGATCTGGTGCCCTCTGAGTGTGTTTTGACTGGGACTCCCCAGAATTCCTAGCCTCCATGAACTTTGCTCACTGGAAATTATGGGAGTTATAATCCAACATATCTGGAGGTTCTTTCTAGGACCTAAAATCAATGTCAAAAAGTGTTGCCACCGTTCCACTTTTAGCCTCCATGTGGCTTTGAGGATGGACGATTCCTACAGCTGGATAATTTTATCACATCATCACGAGAAGAACAAGTTTTTTGCTACAGTCTTCTGGAGCCATCTTTGTCAACAGATAGTGAAAGCACTTTTCTACATATGGCTGATCAGCCAATTGTGAACATGATGAGACAGAGATCACGTGGTTATTCCTGAGAATCTCATAGTGGAAATACTGCACTGCACTGTTTGGGGATCTGCCACTGAAAAATCTTCAGAAGTTGCAGTTTGTGTAGTAGGCAGCTACCAAAATCAGCTTGATTTCATGTTACCAATTTTACAGGACTGCCACTAACTGCTTGCTTGTTTGCAGGTCCAATTCCCATAGTCCTAGATTTCAAAATCTTACAAGCCTGGGTTGCCAGTGCCTAAAAGTACCTAATCCTATTTCAACCCACCCCTACTTTAAATTATTTGCTGATGGTAACCAGTCCTTCTCCCTGTAGGTGGATGGAAAACAGACAGGAGGCATTTGTTCATCGTGGTAACCTAGTTAAGAAATACAGAGGTG